GGATGTGGGTTGACCATATTCCATAGTGCAGAATATCGATTGTACTGTATGGAGATCCCATGCTGTATTTAGAAATTCCTTGTTGATAGACATTTATGTTTTTAAAAATTAGGGTTTTAATTTTACTAAGGCATGCACTGGGACAGCCCTCACTTTCTGCGTTTTAGGAAGATCTGATTGTTGTTGTTGTTGTTTAACTATGTCAAACCTGACCTGCAGCCCTAGATAAACCGCACTTGATTGTGGCATAGATATCTATGTATCTCTGAATTCAACTTGCTAGAATGGTGAAGATTTTCTATCTACATTCATGAGGGATATTGCTGTGTGCGTTTCTTTTTTTGCTCTGTGTTTTGGTATCCATAATACTGGTTTCATAGTAACAGAGGTGGGAAGCATTCCCTCTTCTTTATTTTCTGGAAAATACTTTATGGAATATTTAGTAGAACTTACCAATAAAACATAAGCCAGGAAATGACTTTTGGGGCAGGCTGTTTACTTCAGTTTCTTCAATCATTCTAGGAATACCCAGGATTATTTCACCTTCAGTGGATTTTGGTTGGTTATGGGTGGTTTTTTTGGGTGTTTGCTTTTGGGTTTTTTTTGGTTATGGGTTTTGAAGAACTTTTTTTTTTTTCCAGCAGTTTCAATTTATTTTTATTTATATTTTTTAATCATTTTATTGGGGGCTCATACAACTCTTATCACAATCCATACATACATCCATTGTGTCCAGTACATTTGTTGTCATCATCATTCTCAAAACACCTGCTTTCTACTTGAGCCCTTGGTATCAGCTCCTCATTTTTTCCCCCTCCCTCCTCACTCTCCCCTCCCTGAATAACTCTTTTATTCATTCCTTTTTGGGGTTATTTGAACATTTTTTAGCATTTAATTAATTATTTTTTATCATTTTAATGGGGGCTCATACAACTCTTATCACAATCCATACATACAGTCATTATGTGAAGCACATTTATACAGTTGTTGCCATCATCATTCTCAAAACATTTGCTTTCTACTTGAGCCCTTGGTATCAGCTCATTTTTACCCCCTCTCCCCCCCCTCCCTCATGAACCCTTGATAATTTATAAATTATTATTATTTTGCCATATCTTACACTGTCTCATGTCTCCCTTCACTCACTTTTCTGTTGTCCGTCCCCCAGGGAGGAGGTTATATGTAGATCTTTATAATCGGTTCTCCCTTTCTACCTCACCTTCCCTCCACCCTCCCACTGTCGCCACTCTCAGCACTGGTCCTGAAGGGATCATCTGTCCTAGATTCCTTGTGTTTCCAGTTCCTATCTGTACCAGTGTATATCCTCTGGTCTGGCCAGATTTTGTAAGGTAGAATTGGGATGATAGTGGGGGGGAGGAAGCATTTAAGAACTAGAGGGAAGTTGTATGTTTCATCGTTGCTACATCGCACCCTGACTGGCTCATCTCCGCCCTGAGACCCTTCTGTAAGGGGATGTCCAGTTGCTTACAGATGGGCTTTGGGTC